ATTTTACTTTGTTTCCGTTTTATACAGAATGTTCTAAAACAACATGAAGATGGGATATTCCATGCACTGAGGTCACGACCCGACCATTTTTAATTTTCCTGATTTTTTTTGGTATTATTTAATACCCATTTAGAATAGCTTTCATGAATTTATTCAAACTTTTATTTTAACCACTCAAAAAGTTGTGAGCATTTGCATGTTTTGGGTAAAAAATGTTCAAATACTTGTACCTTGGCAAAAACTAAAGATATTATAAACTTTGTTTTTCATTTTGTTCGTTTTGAGATGTAATGTTATAATAAAATATATAAAAATAATATATTTTTGGTATTTTAAGTTTTTTAATTTTCAAAATGGGTGTCGTATTTTTTTCTTCGAAATATTCTAAAAAAAAATATTCTTTCAATATGCAAATTTAAAAAAAATAACCACGCAAAAGATATGGCAGTATTTACCACACAACACCCAACATGTATAACATTTCATTTAGGTATCTTCAAATGTTTCGAAAATATTTTCAGAGCTCAACTGTGAAAATTAAGCATCATAAAACAGTCTTATAATAAAACTACATATTGTTTCTAAACACCTGTATACAAGCACTTCATCTCCTTTAACCCTATGATGATTGTCTTTGTGGCATGCTGCATGAATATTTTTTCTTAGCACTCATATCTGGCAAAAATAAATTGGAATCAAAATACATATAAAGCTTCATTAATGAACTTCTAAAATTTAGTTTCCTTGTCTTCTCTGACGTCACTTTCCTTTTTTTATAAGCTCTTATATCTCTTTCTTTGTTACCAAAAAAGTAGACATTTGATATGAATTTTTAAGTAAATAAATTTGAATTTACATTTGAATTCATTCTTTTAAAAAAATTCACTCAAAATATCTAATAAATATTTCATTATTTTTTTAATCTTCAGTCATTGGGTCCTTTCGTATTTTAATATAATTTTTTTATTTCTCCTTCTAGCAATTCTAAATAATTTATTATAAGGAAAAAATGGATGATGATATTTTTAACCATTTTGTAACTAAATTTAAAATAAAATGAATACAGAAACTTCTTACTTATAAAAATATACATATAAACAATCATCACATACGTATACATATATAGACATGTTGTAACTAAAAATCAATGATACAAATAATACAATAGTTATATTGAAAAATACTTTCTTTTTACTTGACCTGATCAGTTATATGAAGATTGTTTTTATTTATTAGAATTATCTTTTAATACTTTTAAAATAAAATAAAAAAGTTACGTGGTAACAAGTTTCTATATAGAATATATCCAGATTGACGTCACCAGACTGGTATGGATATGGAATCTCTTTGGGAATCTTAATAGGTTTATTTTAAAAATAGTAATGGATTAATATACTTTAGATTTTTTATTGTTTTTTATTATATCATAAAATAATTAATGAGAACTGAATAAGCTTCAAATTTCCATGAACATTGCGGTCATTCAGTAAATTTTCAAAAACGTTCTTATCTTGTATAGGTACACAAAGTATTGCTCATGATTAGGCGATCCTGAAAATTTCAACTCAATCCGTTGAGCGGTTTTCAAGCTATATGATTTTTAAAATGCGAATATTTGTCTCAGCCGTGGCAATGCAATGACGTCACCGCATGGGACGGTCAGCCGGCTTGGCGCTACTTCCAGATGAGTTTCTACATTTACAGAATGTTTTAGCGTTTGTGCGTATTAAATTTAAAAAATGGAAGCAAATTTCGTAAAAGAAATAGGTTTGTTAATGGTTATGGATTTTTTTTAAATAAAAACTACGACTTTATCAGTGTTGAGATGATGGGAGGAGTGAAAATGCAAAGGTTACGTTTCAATAACGCGTAAGGTTTCTTTAAGGTACGTGCGAAAGTTTTGATGTTTTTGTACAAAAAGAATAGTAAATAAGAATAAGGTTTTTGCGTTTAATTGGACGAAACCGTTTCTGTCACAGGTTTCAAAGATTTACCTAATCAAATACAAAATTCTTATTACTATTTTTATTCCCATGGAAATTTCATAAAATCTACCTAATATCTTATAAATATATTATATAATATAATATTTATTAAGTATTTTTATATAAATACTTAGTAACTATAAGTATTTATATTCACAAAAAAATCAACAATGGAAAACATAAGTGTATAGTGTTTCTAAAGGATACAAACGTATTTATTACATACCTAAATTACGCAGGGTAGTTTTGTTGCTTTCAAAATAAGTAATTTTACGAATAAAAGATAATGAAAAAACAAAATCAAAGTAGAGACGAATAGACTATTGTTTTTATATTCGCAGGACAAAGTTACGGGGAGATTATAATTTTCTTAGGCGTCTTCACACTAGTGCTCAAACACTGGGGAACAATACAATATTTGTAATTTTTTTCTGTTCTGTCTTCCATATTGCTAACAAAATTTGATATCTTAACAACGTAGGTAAACAATCGAAACTTAACAGGCAACTAAAACCCGACTACCCGACTGACCGAAAAATGACAACACACGCAAGCATGCGGCATTGGTTTCCCATGCGGTGACGGCACACTCTCCTGTTCAGCGGATACTGAGCGTGCCAGCTTATGATTTTTTTGGATGACTTGTAGGCGATATAAAATGTTATTTTTTTGAAGAGAACCTTAAAATTGCAATATCTTACCGTTAAGCAAATAAAAAAAATGCTGAATGAACCCATTGTACCTTTGTAAATTTTATTTCATCAGTGAAATTGATATGTACCTGTGCGGTCACCTGTAAAGACAGTACATAAATGATTCTCGACAGGTAATTTTACTCCTATCCACTAGGCATCTGTAGCCGTGGAAGAAAGATACCTATATCTGACCAGTAGCTGTAGACATAAATACAAATACAATTATATGTATTTGTTGCAATTTAAACTTCAAAGGTTAGAAACTTATAACAGTTAGCAGAACAATAAGATATGATAGACAAACGTAATAACGTAAATGTAATAAATAGTTTTTAACTCTTAATCTTCCAATAACAACATCGTCGTTCTCTTACTTTAATCTGATTTGCGGAATTCGATAAATGAAAAAAAATATTTTGTCATTTTTTGACTTTATAAGTATTTTATGTTTATATTGCAATTGACTTATAGACACTATCTTGTTATTAAAATAATTCGATGACATGTCGAAAAGAGGAAAAATATTAGAAATTCTAGATAAATAAAAGTCGAAATAAAACCACATTGAAACACTTTCGCCAATAATAATTTGAAATTAAAAGTATGTTTCTCTAGATTGTGTTCAACTTGAATAAGATATTCTCTTCCTCAAAAATCAAAGAAAAAAATACAGGCTTTCATTAAATAAATCAAAATAATAAAATTTAAAAGTAAGTATCGGTACGCTACTTTCAACATTCGTTAAATTTCTAAATTTATAACAAGTTTATTTAGATATTCCTAATGAAACCTAAAGAGGAAACATTTTTCGATACATTAACATTCCATTATTAATGGTTTAAAAATTAAGTATTATTGATATACGAGTACCTACTATTGTAGTGATTTTATTAACAAATTCGGTTTATAATGTTTCCAAATAATACAAATTATAAAAATTATTATTTGGCAGAAGCTATTCAATCAATGTGATTATAATTAAAAGTGGTAATTAAAAACTTACATTACGTGCCATGGAATATAAATATATGGTTTTTGAAATGATGTTTTTATTTTATTTCTGATGCTTTCAATGTTTCTTGAACCGATGGGGATAGACAGAAAATCAACATGAGTGTTGATAGTAGAATAAGTTGAAATACTGATGTTATAATTTTAGTATTTCTTATTCCCGAAATATTACATCTGGGACTTTTTTTAATAAATAAAGGTTACAAACATATACATTTCTTCATATAGAACCAAAGCTCATACCTGGATTAAATTAGACAAATACAGAACTTGGTAGTCACGAAAAGTGGGTCAAATAACCCCATAAAAATTTTATGTGACAAAATTTACGTAGCGAGTTCCTAAGTGAATGTTAATCTGCAACTAATTATGAGTGCCTCCGACTAAATCTGATTTATTGAAATTGCCACTTTTCGTGAGAAGGACAGAGTATCGCAATACGATAATACTTAGTCCAAAATGGATGTCGCATATTGCGAAATAATTTCATTTTATTAAGTAACACCGTATTGTAACCACCTACATATTTGTCGATTATGATCATATTCTGTTGCTGTTGTATTACTAAATGTTCAGTTACATAATCCTGTGGTTTTATAACGAAATAACTGAAGTTTAGGATTATTAAATACCTACAAAATACCGACTGATCATTCTAGTTTTTATAAGGCTGTTTACATTCCCATCAAAAGCAATTATTTAATTTCAAACTGTAGATGGGAATAACATTATTACTATTAAATGAAAAGTGTTACACTTGACTTATTTATATGCGGCAAGAAAAAATGACTTTGAATTAATTCTGCTTTAGTTTCACATGAGGCTGTCACATGGCACGTAATAATTTATACGTAATATTAATATTAGAATATTTATAGATATTTACAAAATACTCGTAAGCATATCCTGAACCAGTTTTCTAGCGATATTACTGAATAGAATATGAAATATTGTAACTATTCTGGATAATTTTCTTTAAGTTATTTTAAATCTAAAAAAATATGCATTAAAAATGACATACCTATCTACAGACAGGAAAAGAAAATTTAATATGTAAAATATTTTTGGTAAGTGGACTTTCTGATGGTCCAATTTGGAATTTGATTTAACTCGAAATATAGTCTATGTCAAGACATCTAACACGTTGTTAAATAATAATATAAAATGTCGCTTTCGCACCTTCATAGTCATAGTCATTAATAGTAATTCCTAAAATATTAAAATTTCATAATATAATATTGTAATAATACTGTCTTCTGTAGTAATTATTTATTTAATTAATTAATTTCCTATGTCATATCTTCACGATTCAGTCATCATAACCATGATCACCATCATCGTCATCACCGTCATTATCGTCATTGGCATCCTTGTCATCATAGTTAGCATCTTTACTGTCGCCACCATCGGCAACATTGTCATCATTGTCTTCATCCTCATCGTCATCCTTATCATCATCCTGATCGTTATCCTCATCGTCATTGTCATTGTCACCCTTATCGTACTCCCCATCGTCATCATCATATCCATTTTATTTCTTATATAAATTTATTTTCAAAATCATCTGCTGTCGGGCTTAATAGGAGTTAAAATGCAAATGTTATTTTATTTCAGATGCAGAAACATAGAAGAACTTTTAGTTGGAGATGTGACTTTGTCTTCACATTTCTACTCTCGCCTCTATCTATCAAAGATTCTTCTAGATAAAGAATACAAGTTTCTACACTGTCACGCACTCGTTAAAAATGCATAGAGTCTGTCGAATTGCCTCACAAAACGCAATAATGAGAGATTCAGTAATTCCTTCAAATTTTCAGTTGGAGTCATAAACTTCAATGGTTTGAGATGCCATTACAGAAACAAATTGAGAGGTTTTAAGTCTGGGACTCGAGGAGGCTGTGCACCATCCCTACCTATCCAAAAGTTTATATATTATATGCGACATCCAAATATTGCAGCGCAACCAAACTGAAATGAACTGCAGTACCTCCTTGCAGAAACATTTGTTGCCCTCTTCTTGCAGTTGTTTGTATTTCGGGGTTTTTCTAATATCCAAACTCGTACCTTCAAAGGTTAACTTGAACATAATAAACAAAACACCGTATTTAATATGCCACCAATGAATAGGGTGCCAAATAAAGTTTATTTTCCAAATCTGGAATTTTTTGTGTTTGTCCTTGAAGGCCATTTGGAGGTCAACAATTTTCCCTGAATAATTTCAGAAAAATGTGTCAAGCAAAATTTGTAGAATTTTGAATATTAGCTCCTTGACATCCTATAACTTTTATCTGAAACTTTTTGATAGTCGTCAATCCTGAAAAGTAATGGAGAGTATCACAACGTAAGCCCACTTTTTTTTTTAACTTTTAATCAGCAGTATGTCATGAAGAGAAGAGGTTTCTATTTTCATTCAGTTTGCTAATATCTTATTTGTATCCCGTACAATCTCCTCAACCCCGTCTTGTAGCCGTGTTCGACAATATTTTTGTGCTTATCTTTAAAGGTAGTTGAACTTTAAATCTTAAAGGAAAATAAAATGTGCCTCTGCTATAACAAAGGGTGGCAGGCACATGATATGCATTAAATATCTAGTTTTACAATAAAATTTCATAAATGTATGTTGTTTTGTTTCTAAAAGTGTTATATGTAGAATGATAATTACATGTAATATTCTGAACTACTATTTAAATAACTTTAAAAGTAGAAAATGTTTGTTACTTATTTATTTGGTTTTTAGGGGTAGTGTACCAGGCATATCCACAAAGTAAGATTAGTGAGTCGAGTCCAAGGTGTTGCGAGAACTAAGCGCGCTCATTTGTCTCAATTAGTTGAGAACTGTTGTTGTAGTAGCATGTTGAAGCGAGTGCCGCTATTCCGAATCTCACTAGCTACGAGGTGAGGAGCATAATCCGGTTTATTCTTGCAAAAAGAAAGGCGCCGTTCCAGATTTTGATCCAAATTAGAACTGTTTGTGGGGATGGTGTCGTGAGTATAAAGCTGAATGTTCACAATGAACAAAGGGGTGATGAGATAAACAAGTATCGAAGAAATCCTTCGTGGCGACCGTTGATTGACTTTGGAAGAGATGAACACAGTGTTTCTACAAATCTCCAGATTTCTTCTACATGAAATCGTTACTGAAAACTGTGTGCGGGATAGGTACCAAAACAGTTTACGGATTAACACAAAGCCAACAGTTCCTTGACTGTATTGTGACTGGAGACGAAACATGGGTGGCCTATTACAAACTTGAGACGAAATGGCAATCAGTGTTCGTCTTTATTGTAAGCAAAAAAAATTCAAACCCGTTGTTTTGGCCTGAAAAATTCTAGCAACTGTGTCTTGGGACCGTAAAAGAATTCTCTCGTCTCACAAAGTGCATTAAGGTTTTAGGAGACTATGTCGAAAAGTAGTGTTTGATGTACCTTTCTGAATACAGAAACATGTTTCATCTGTAACAAGTATTTGCGCTGTAAATTATGGAATTCCTGCATGTTGCTGAAGCAACCATTCGCAAAAAGTAAGCGCTTGAATACGTTGAATATGAAATGGGTACAACTGAACTTCTCATAATGTCCACCACACAACAGGTTGTGAAATATTTACTTGCTGCGGGATATTTCTGGTGCTATGACGGGATCTAAAATGATCTCCTCGACATTTAAGATTCTTAATGGTCGCCCTGGGCCATCGTCGCGACCTCGACGCGGTTATACTTCACCGGTGTCCAAAATTTTTTGCGCTACGGCAACAAATATTCACGGTGCCGGGGCACGTCGCTCAGGATATCTCGTACGGTACACTTTACAAGCTTTGTGGGCATTTTGGTTTGCTTCGCCAGAAATTATGAGCATATAATAATATTCGCGATTGCTAAATAAATGAACCATTTTCAAAAGAAAATTTAAATATACGCTCGAAAAACAGCACAGCAATCACTACAACATTGTATTACAAACTGACTTTCCAATGCAGTCCGGCTTCATGAGAAATCTGCAAACTCTTAAAAAGTGTTACAGAATTTTTGTAAGTACTCGCCGCGATAAAATACATGTATTTCAGCAGTTCCAAAGTTTGTGACATCAGTTAACTTAGTTTTTCTCCTTTTTCACCACTTTAAATTTTTGACTTAAGTTCATTAACACCCTGTAAACTGCCTTTTTTTTAAAAATTGAGTACTCTTACTCTGTGGATATGCCTCGTACTTCAAAACTAAAAAGAAAACCTAATGAAGAAAAAATGAGAGTAAAATAAATATTTTTTTATATGAAGTACAGTACAAAAATTATAAATTTGTAATGATAGTAATTAACTTAGGCTCCATACTATCGTTGTTTGAATATGAATGTTAAATATCTAGAGATAATTTAACGCATGTATGAATACAAATTTTGTATCCGATAAAGTATATTCGATATAGCCGTCTTATGTCGGTAAATCAGCACAAACTCTGGCTCCACACATGTGTTGTTCGTTTATAAATATTTAATATTCAGACAATCGATCAAAGTAGATCCATGTTCCTTGTAACTCTTAGTATATCTAATGTTCAACATTCTTCATCTCTTCTTTTTCTAATCTCCGCTAATTCCATAATATTCCATAATTAGTGTTAGGTTTTTTATCACAACTAATCATTATTTCCTTAACTGATGAAAACAATGAATGACTCTTGTTTGTTTTCCTTTCAAATCTTCTTATTAAATTAAAGAAAATTATAAAGTTCTAGAAGTAATGATAACTTTTGTATATACAGTACGAGCCTAAAGTATGGAATAAATTCGGTAAAAACGAAACAATTTTTTTTTGGGAAAAATCCTCGAACAGGTCGATTTTTAATTTAAAAAATACATATTTTAGCATAGACGGTTTTCAACCGTCATTTGTTTTCGGGTAATGACGTCATCGACATTTTTTTTAAACAGCAACCCCCTATTTTTTTTTCTTGATTCTGAAAGATAGTTTCATTGTCGATCCAACAGTATTAAAATGTTGCCATCTTATATAGGAAAGTTTTCAAGTAAATGACAATTGAATGTTAGAAAACCTAAATAAATTAAAATAAAACAAAAACGTTATCAAATTTAGTTTTTCGAAATGCCTGAAGTTTTTTATGAATCACGTAGGTGTAAATCTTTACAAAGTGTCACTGTCATACTGACTTTCTAAGTATTGTAAGCGATATAAAAATTATTGTTAAAGTATTATGGCACATTTAACTGTCACACAAAGAATTGAAATTTTAATTCTAATCGGATGTGGGGATAAGACTAGAACGCAGCAGGAATTTTGCGATATATTTAATGAAAAACATCCAGATCGCCGTATCAGCCAATCAACAGTCAGTAGGTAAGATAGAATCTAAATTTAAAGGAACTGGCAATGTTGTAGATATTCCAAAACCTGGACGTCCAAGTGTTAGTAAAGATCACAAACAGAACATTTTGATAAGTATGGTAGATAATCCTCATAATACTTCACGATTGGTTGCATTAAATAATGAAATTAGTTAGACCACAGTGCTACGTATCCTGAGGCAGGAAAAATATCATCCCTACAAAATTCAACTTGTGCAGAAACTCAATGAAGAAGATCCCGACCGCCGCTTACACTTTCTGGATTTATGTCAAATAAATAGAGATTTACACCGGCAAATACTTTTTTCATACGAGGCCACGTTTTGTCTCAATGGTACAGTGAACCGTCAAACTTGCAGGTATTGGAGTCGGGAAAATCCTCATTGGATGGCAGAGACGCATACCCAACACCCACAGAAATTAAATGTGTGGGCTGGAATAGTTGACAACAGAATAGTACGGCCTTTCTTCTTTGAAGGAACCCTTACAGGAGAAAGATATTTAGAGTTTTTACAAAATGACCTTGTTCCAGCGCTTGCAGTAATTTTTCCTAACGATAATGACCCTGATATTCCTGATGACACCATATGGTTTCAGCAAGACGGTGCACCTTCGCACTATGCGCGCCCTGTTCGAGATTTTCTGTATAATTGTTTTCCTAGGAGGTGGATCGGCAGACGAGGACCGATAGAATGGCCCGCGAGATCCCCATATCTTACACCTCTGGACTATTTCTTATAGGGCTACTTAAAGTCCAAAGTGTACGCTAATAGACCACATAATTTAGAAGAACTCCAAAATTGTATTATAGATGAAACACACAGAGTTACCCCAGAAATAATTCATAATGTGCAAGAAGAATTTCTACACAGACTTGCGTATTGTCAAGAAGTCGGTGGGTGGCAATTCGAACACTTAATTTAGGTAGAAAATTTAATGAATTTATTTGCTTGACATAGGAATTGTTATTTTTTTAATGAATAANTATCTATCTATCTATTATGTATCTATCCAATTTTAATAATAAGTCATAGGTAATCATGAAGAAAGTAGCAATAGTTGTTTAGTTCAGATCATCATATTGTTGTACCTGCCATGCTGAGAAATTCTGTAAGAATTAAGAAAAAAAAGTGCAAAT